CCCCAAAACCCCAAAACCCCAAAACCCCTTCATATTGATTTAATATTCTGCTAATGAAATTAAATATTAATGAAAGTAAGTAAATTAATAATCATTGGTTATTAATGTTCAATTCTTTACAAGTCATTTTATATTCATTAATGAATATCCTATGTCTCTAATAATTTGACCTTTATTTAAGTTCAATCTCAATCTCTTTATCTTCTACCTCTTTTAGAGTTTTACTTCCTGTAGGCAGGTGACTAAGCCCCACCGTATCTATCTTCTTCAAACCTTATTTTATGAATCAGATCCTCAACTGACTCCAGCATAATATCTTCCTCGTTTAACTGTTTTGGATCCTATGCATCCTCTGGTAATCTCAGAGTCATTCTCTCAGTCTGATCTTTTTTCTTAATAACTGCATTACTCTGCTTTGAGTTTCTTACCACATGTGTTCTATGGGATGGCGCCTCACGCTTTTAAAACTTGATTGAATTGCTCATTAGATCTCTAAAATTTCCACCAGGCTTCTTGTCAATGTTGATGCCTTCAAAGAACTTCTCTGAGATGTTGAATTTGTCCACTCGCTTTCTTCTTATCAAAGACTTCTTAGTGGTCCTACGCTCACCAACTCTGATTAAGCTATCTTCCTCCTCATCCTCATTTATGCTTCTTCTCCTTCTTCTTATCAGAAAAGCTCTGTCTTCATTCGTCTATCTTGTTAGCTCATTAACACCTTTCGTATGTCTGCTGGTGTTTCTGGATTTATTGCTGTTTTGCAGTGACCTCTGCTTCCTCAGGAATTATTCTGGAGACAGTTTAATTTCACTTTTCCTGGCTAGCTTGATAAATTCTAGGAGATCCATCTAGTCTTATGCTTTCATTGTCTTTTAATTCCAAGTGCCTCCTGAATCCTTATTGAGCAAATCTCTGAATGAAGTGACTGAATGCTTTCTATGATCAGACTCTCTACTTTGTGATTCTTTATCACTTGTATCAATAGGCTCTCTGTAGGTTTTTTTCACTTAAGGCTTACTCATTCTTATTGACTGTCTCTAATTCTTTCTTTTTAACTTCTTGATCATAGTACTCCTAAAGCTTTCATCCTCATCATTTTCTTCCTTGATTTCTTCTATATCCTCTTTATTGGCATAGTCCTTTCTTCTGCTTCGATTGAGCTTTCTATCCTTTGGTTCCCTACTCGACATAGCAGCTCTTTCAAGTTCAGTTTCTAGCAACAGTCTTTTAAAAAAATCCTTTTCATCATGTTCAGTCAATCTAACCATAGACTGCCTAGCTGAAGGTCTTTGACTGATTGAGGACCTAACTCTTTCATCAGGAGATTCATTTGACCCGCCTCCATTGTTACCACCTAATGCAATACTGATTCTAGCAAAGGATTATGAATCACTAAGACTGCCACTAACTGTGCCAAGTGGGTTACTTCCACTTCCACTGTGAGCCAAACTCTGACTCATCTGTTTATCAAAATAATCTTCTTTAAATCTAATTGAACCAAACTTTCTAGCTTCAATTAGTTTTTAACTCTATGAAATAGCATCTGCACTTTTATTTATTGGTTCTGGAGCAATAAAGAATTTCTTCTTGGCTAGAGCTTTCAGGCTACCTTTAATAATGCTGAAATCTTTGCAGTCAGTAGCAATATGGCCCTTCTCTTCACAGATGTAGCAGGTGACGCCAATTGAAGTGTAATCATTATATTAGTTAATCTCTTACTTTATCATCTCAAAAGTCTGAATAACCCGTGGAAATTAGTCTGCTTGCTCCATGAAATCCGATCTCACAAGCTTAATTACCTCTGTAAAATTCTTAGATCTGATGGTAGCTTTTCTAAGCTTCTGAGAGAAGAAAGCACATTCTCCAAAGAAGTCATCTCCACCAAGATCCTTGATAAATGAAAGAGTCCTCTTGTGAATAAGAGATACATTGCCCGAGCACATATAATAGAGAGAATCACCTATGTCTCCTTCCTAAATCACATGATATTATTGAAGTGAGTTTACAATAAAGATATTTTCATCGATTGTGAAAGTCTCTCTTTTGAGGACAAAGGTTAGTTCACTTATGAAGGCTATGTTGAAGCTTTTGAATATAGATGTAGAATGCAGCATTTTACCATTCAAATGGACTATCATCTCTAACCTCAGATTCTCATTTAGCATATCAAGCACATCCTCTTCCTCTAACTTGAACTCTTTTTTATTATCCTTTAAGATTTATAATAATATATGATTACAAGTAAATAGGCTAGATACAACCTGACTTTAGTCCTAAAATCTCTCGGAATGTGATTGTGTATCATGAAATCATTTATTGATATCATCTTATCCCTATATAATTAGATTAGTAATTGAGCATGTCTTACTAAAAATCTGTTATCAGTGTTGCAGTCTTGTCAATGATAGCGAATATTGAACCGACTAAATACGCAAAGAAACCACAAGCTACAATCATGCAAACTGTTGCAAACACCTACTCCACTGGTGAGACAGGATACACATCTCCATAGCCTACAGTAGTCATTGTAGTAAGAGCCCACGAAGTAGCTATAACATAGAGATGGATTGGGTCTTTTCCCTTATCAAGTTTAAACTTCTCTACCCAATTCGGCTCAATATCCATCCCTATCAAATTAATAATTGGTTATCAATACTTCTTTCTATATCTCCAATGAAAAAGAAGATGCAGCCAGTCCAGTGCACCAAAAAGAACAAGACAAGAAAGATCTTAAGTACCTCCATGAATGTCGAAATCTTATCATTGAAGAAGAACTCCTCAAACTATAGATATTTATTATGATATGATATAATCTTATTACTCTGTAAACCAATCGTCGAAGTTTGAATAATCTGATAAGTCTGATTATGCGCAGAAATCTGATTATCTTAAGCAGTCTCAGGAGTTAGGCTGTTTAAGGCAGCAACGACACAGTCTGATTTGTCCCTCTACTCTGCCAATCCTCATCTGCATACTCTTCCTCCAATTCATCTAAGTTTTAGTTTGTGGCTTCAGAGATAAACCAAGCATAGGGGAATGAGGCAATCAAATCCAAAAAGAACCATGTTTTGAGATAGCGCCACATCACGTGCCTTCTTCGCATTACCAAGAATCCTTTCTTGTAGTATCCAGTGTACATATTGATCACTATGAAGTCAAATTAATCAGATAAATAAGGGCACTTACAAATATCAGTCAAGAAGAACAAATCTATTGAGTACTCAAACATTGAGAACCATCCAGAAGAAGGTATATTGAATGCTACTCTATAGGGTATTAATATAGCTTCATAAAGAATTAAAAACAGCCCTGTAAGATCCCACCCAGTTTTGAAGTTAGAGTCAGGAAATATAGGGTTGCATCTTTTCTTCTTCAGCCTCTTGTACTTTATAGTCTTCAGATTTAGATCTCCAAGTTCCTTTGTATAATCCATTGCTATTTCAGACTGAAACGACAAGTCATCAAATAAATTATTTTCAGACTGCCCCAGGAATTTATTATCATTGCCAATAAGTTGCTTGTCTCCGAATTTGTACTGGTTTTGCCTGCCCATATACAAGGGCTTTCCCTCCAGACTGTCATTTTTATTATCATCATCCTAATTCTTCTTCTTTTCTTCCTCTCCATCATCAAATTAAAACATATCATCTTCACCATCATCACCTTCTATAACACTCTTACTCAGTAAGTCATGAATCGTGTCTTTTTTAGCTTTATCATCATTCTAAGATTTAAGAGTCTTCACAGGAACAGCTGATAATGTAGCCAGATTATTGGACAGGTTGCTATTAGTATCAATAATATTTCCACTAGAGAGATTCTGGTTAACTTGCTGCTGAGATTAAATTTGCCCAGGAATGCTAAGGTAACTCATTTCCTAATATGAGTTTACCTTTTTCATCCCAAGCTTAAAGCCAGAGGAACCCTCACTTGACTTCATGCTGCCTTCCTTATCTCTTTCTTTCTCCTTTTATTGATGCTATTCCTGTGCCTTTTTCAAAAGAGCCTAAGGGGTGTTCTAAAGCTATTGACTGTTCTGAGATTCACTGTCACTTTATTTAGTTAAGTTATCCTATTCTTTCAAAAAAATCTTAAACAATCGCTGCTTGAGGTTTCTTTATCTTTTCTGGTTTTGATTAATTGCAGGTTTAGATTTTCTTTATTACACTCCTAGCAAAGGCTAATTCATCTAGGTCCAATCCTAAGCTGGAGGCACGTAGTTAAAGTAGCCAGTGGGATCTTCGTAATCTGACTGCTCCGTATTGGTCGTCCCCTAATTTATTATCCCATCGAAATTTTACATAGTCATGCTTTTCCTCAGAGAGTTACCAGCCACAGTTTGAAATGGTCTCATTTTTGGTGGGCTATTCGAATACTGTATTTACTAGTTTTGCATATCTTGAAATTGCTACAGCTGTTACTATGTGTATTAAGGATGAGATGTATGCTACTGCTGCTATAATGGATTATTTTACTGCTGTCCATCTGACATCATATTGTTATTATATAGAGAGATGTTTAAATTTGGCGAAAACTAGGAGTGCGTGAACATCTATTCAGAGTTTATTTGCCTATGCTATGGATTCATAAAAGGCTGTTATTATTAATACTATTATTGCAGCTGCTATTATGTAGGATTGGCTTAGTTAATAAGATTTTGCATCTATTGGTTGTAGATTTATTGCATTTGAGGATTGAGGTATTGCGGAGGCATCCACATGACGTTCTAAGATGTCGTGTTTATTATTATGTTAGATTGAAACTACTGTGTCTGTTCCCCACCTATCCTGAAACTTCGAGCTCTCTATAATCTAGGTTCTTCTATGAGTGATTCATCTATTATACTCTCATTTTCTTCTGTCAATAGCATCTGATTCATTTGATCTAAGTAAGAATAGTAAATTTAAGTGGGTAATGCATGATATATGAAAGATTACTGTAAGTATCTCTTTAAGATTGATTGATCTCATGTGATGGGAATGAAAATTGGCTTGATCCCTCAGTTACTCAAGGAGAGCTATTGACTCTATTAACATTTGTTAACTCAACTTGTTTCTTTGACTAATTATTTTTGTTGTCTTAGTTATCTTTCATTTTAAAATTCAGACAATTTTTTTAATATACCAATAATAATTTTCTGCAGATTTGTTCTGACTTACTTTAGTTCTTAATACTTACTCTAGCGGGGTTTTGGGGTTTTGGGG